AAGAATGGAAGGAAAGAAAAAACACTTACATCAGACTTACAAAGAGATTGCTAACTACCTCCCTCAAAACACTGAGACATAGTATGCCTATATCCATGTTAGAAACAGTTTTCAAAAAGAAAATACAATTTTGAGTTAAAGATGAGGAAAAACGTGTATAATAATAATTTGCTTTTAATTTAATTAACTTTTAAAAATAATTTAACTTTTAAAACCTGGGCAGTGCATGTCATATGTGCCCCAAGTAAGTACAGGGAACTGGAGAGCTGAGGCATTCCCATCTGTGCATTAGGAGCAGCCAGTGGCCTTTCACATCCCAAACCCAAAGCATATCAAGTGTCTGCATCTCTTACTTATCAGAAATCCAGAGTCTAACAGTTCTATCTCGTGAGGCGGAGGCTAGTAAGTTTCCATGTGGCGAAAACTGCACGCTGGTTACAACATCCTTGTGACCCACATATCTGTATGCTCTAGCATGTGGCTTCAAATTCCACAGCATGAGAAAGGTATCCCAAGAAGCAGTAGCTATCAAGAAAGAGAAGAACAAATCAATGTTAAGATGCAAACACAGACATGTGTCATTAATAACAAGGTGTCAAGTAACAGAGAAAATTGTAGGGCTGGCCAGGTAATAGGAAAAATATTTTAAAGTTATAGTATGAATGTGCAAACTTGGCTGTATCCCTTCCAGAGTAGAATTACCCGCCCCAGTATTCAAGGAGAGCTTAGTAACTACTAGCTGCGAGAGGCAGTGCATTACAATAGAGAGTGCATTGGGCTGACTCTCACTCTGGGTGACTGAAAGTTACTTGACCTCAGTGTTTTGATGAATTTTTTGAGAGGGATGAGAAAGATTTTAAAAGTAGGGGAAAATTATTTGCAGTTGCAATAGTATAAATGACACATAATATACCTGTGACCTAAATCCATCTGTTAAGACTTTTTCATGTCTGGTTTACAATTTCCTTGGTGCTCCTCTCTGTATACGAACACACATGTGTATGTACAGAAACACACAGATAAATTTTTGTTGATCCACTTGGGAATAGGTTGTATAAATCATACCATCTTTATTCCTAAAAGTTAGGTGGTTTTTTTTTTTTTTTTCCCCTAAGAATAAAGATACTCTCTAACACACCCACAGAGCAATTTTAAGTTTAGGAAATTAATCATTGATACAATACTTTAATCTAATAATGGCATTCTAACTTTGTCGACTGATCCAGAAATGCTTTTATAGCTAGGTAATATGATCTTAAAAATCTGTCTCTGCTCTGCAATTTTATGACATTTGAGGATTAATAAAAAGAACCATATGTCCAAAATTAGCTTACAAAACCTTTATGCCAAGGGAAAATGTGATCAATAGTGTAAATAAATTCCTTGACAAAGAATGAACAAGTGACCAAAGGAAAGATAAATCTAATGCTTGCCTGCAAAACAAATTCTATTATATGCACAGAACAGCCCCAACAACAGGACAACAGCAACAATGGGTACTGAGAATCACTAAGTCTATACAGAGTGCTTAGGAAAAAGTGAAGCTTTATGAACTTGAAATACAGGAAGTATCACTATTAGAAGGGAACTGGGGCCTGGCTTCATAAAGTTATTGAAGCATTTTAAGTTCTTTAGCCAACATGAAAAATTTTTTTAGACTCAGCCCACCCATTATCTCCATTTCAACAGTTCAATGAGTTTTTAAGTTTTAAGCAATAGTTTTACTGGGAACCTTTCTCAACAAAGCTAAAGTCACCCCTAGTGACCTGCTTCCTTGAGCAAGGCCACACCTCTAGCCCTCCCCTTCACCCCCAGTAGTACCAGCAACTGAAGACATAGCACTCAAATACTTGGAGTCTATGAGGGATATTTAAACCACTGCATTCTACTACCTGAACCCTATAGGTTCATGACCACATCATAATACAAAATGCATTTAGTTCAACTTAAAAAGTCTCCACGGTCTTTAACTGTCTCAACACTGCTCAAAAGTACAATGTTCAAAGTCTCTTTTGAGACTCAAGGGACTCTCTTAACTATAGAACCCTACAAAATCAAAAAGCAATTTCTGTACTTCTAACAAACAATAGAACCAAATACACATTCTCACTCCAAAAGGGAGGGAGGAATGGGGGCATAGTGGAGAAATACTAGACCAAAACAAGAATGAAACCCAGCAAGGCAGAACACCAAATCCTGTAGCTCCATGTCTGATGTATAAGACTTTAGTTCCAAAGGGCTGAGATGTTGATGTTGTACTACGTGAACTTAGAATCTGCTTTCATACACTGCCATGGAACCACATCCTTTATAAATATCACCGTACGATTAAAAAAATGTCAAAATCTGCAGTAGTCATCCATCTACTGGTGTGTTTAGAGATTAAAATGTCAAAGGCAGGAAGTTAAGAAAAAAATGTTAGCTAATAAATCTACCAATTTAAAAAACCCTTGTATTTTATTTACCTTTATACATTATCAAAATGGTAACCCATTATTCTAAAAAGTCCTTGTTAGGATATGAGAACGAAGCCTGTGCTCTGTCTAGCTACTCTTTTCTCTGGAGGTGAGGTCACAGAACATTCTAATCAAAGTATTTTCCTCCATACTGTCAAAAGCCAGCAGCTTTGTGTCACTTTAAGGAACAGCATATTCTGTAGTCAACCTAAGCTGTCATTGATTTAACAAAATATCAACTGCAGTATTTACAAGTTTATGTGCTAGAAATACTATTTTCCAGGGCTAGGAGTGGTGGCATGCACCTGTAATCCCTTACTACTTGGAGCTGAGGCAGGAAGATTGTGAGTTCAAGGCCAGCCAGGGCTATACCCTGGCTCAGAAGGTCAAAACTAAAACAAAGAACAAAACAGTATTTTCACACACACAAAAAGGTATGTCCTTCAGTTTTTGTTGGATTAAAAATTATCTCACATGTCTTTTCATTTGGCAAAACCAGTATTCAATACAGAACTTGAATGCTACAAAAGGGTATTTATTTATCAAAACTTCACCTACTCCTTGGCCATGAGCCTCTCTCATAGGCGACCTGCATCAACACTGTCTTTGGAAGCCTAATCCTTCAGAGATCAATGTGACCATCCCCATGCATCATCCCCATGCATTCTGTACAAATGACAGCACACTCCTCTGCACTTTGCCTCTCCCTTCTCCCCTTCCACTCTGCATGTTGGAGCTCACATTTGGTTAATACATAGAGCTGTCTCACTCTGTTGCCCCTCTATTTCCAGTACATTTTAATATTGATAATTCCAAGTCTACAGAAAAATTATGAAGCAGTACAGGAAGCTCCTACACATTCTTTCCCTACCTGAGATACGTCAGCATGCTGCCTGTTTGCCTTATCATTTTCTCTCACAGAAGGACCTTCCGTCTGCCCTTTACATCGATCATTTGAATGAAGCTAGAACACCATGGTACAAACCTGGAGGCAAAAGCTGAAGCAGAGACCATGGAGGAATGCTGCTTACTGGCTTGCTCCCCGGGCTTGTGCTCAGTCTGGTTTCTTATGACACCCATAGCAGTACCCACCGTGGGTTAGGCCTTCCCACATCACAGACATGCCCATAGGCCAATCCAGTACAGGAAATCCCCCAAATGAGGTTCCTTCTTCCCAGGTGTGTCAAGTTGACAATGGAAGCCAACCATGACAGCTCCCAAGGTTACAGTATTAAGAGGTCTTGAGGCTTTAAGAAGTATTTGTAGTCCTGAGGATTCTGCCCTCTGAATGGATTGATCTATTCTGCACAAGGTCTTCTTGGCCTTCAACCAATGCACTAGCAAGACACCTCGTGGATACAGATAGTCTCCTCAGGCCACTTTACTCAGCAGCGACTCAGGAACCTAGTGCCATCATCAGTCCATGCCGAGAACACTGAGGCCTTCTCAGCTCAGCAAGGAGACTCTTCATTGGCTCTGTTTCTCTGCTGTTATACAGGGAGTGTGTGTTCAGGAAGAAAGCAAAGGTGTGGAGCTCAGCTCATGTGCTTCTCATCCTCTAAGGGTCATAGGTTTGTACACCGTGGCTCAATACCTCTAAAAGTTGCATCATGTATTTTGTCTAGTTATATAGCTATTTTCAGATTCCAATTATTGTCATAACTGGAGATAGGAATCTGCCTTGTACTTAATATCTACATACTATTTCATTTTGTAGCTAACCCTTAAATTACTTAACCAAACCATCTCTTATTTAGGTTTGCAATATTTTGCTTTTTTTTTTTCTTCTGGTCTTTTTGAGACAGGGTCTCCCCATAGCCCCAGCTGGCCTGGAACTCACTATGTAGACCAGGCTGGCCTTGAACTCACAGAGATCCACCTGCCTCTGCCTCCTGAGCTCTGGGATTAAAGGTATGCGTCACCATGCCCGGCTATATATATATGATGCTATATACACAGTATGCCCAACATATAAATATATCATTCTGATAAATTTGGAGAACCATTATTACTGGGTCTGAGTCAGAAGACAAATACTAAAATCTGTTGAAAAGGTTCACATCTATCTTTAAATTTTTACTTTTTTTAAAATTTTATGTGTATGACTGATTGTATTGCTTGCATGCATGCAAGTTCACCCATGTCATGCAATGCCCACAAGGGTCAGAAGAGGGCATTGGATCCCCTGGAACTGGAGTTACAGATGGTTATTAGCTGCCATGTGGGTGCTGGGAATCGAACCTGGGTCCTCCTCAAGAGCAGCCAGTGCTCTTAACTGCTGAGCCATCTCTCCAGCCCCTATATCTATCTTTTAAAAATTATTAGTATAGCCAGGTGTGGTGGTGCATGCCTTTAATCCTAGCACTTGGGAGGCAGAGGCAAGCAGATCTCTGTGAAACTGAGGCCATCCTGGTCTACATAGAGAGTTCTAAGCCAGTTGGTATACAGGGAGACCCTGGCTCATAAAAACAAAACAGAAATCATTATTTCATGTGTATGCATGATGTGTGTTGCATGTGTTTATATGTGCATGATGTATGTGTGTCAGTAGACATGCTACAGTGTACATGTGGAGGTCGGAAAACAACTTTGTGGAGTCAGTTCTTTTCTTCCCCATCACATGGTCCTGGGGATTGAATTCAGGTCCCCAGGCTGGTGTGACAAACACCTGTTCCTGATGTGCCTCTCACTGGTCCATATCTATCCTTACAAATTTGAATTTTATTTCCCCTGAGGTCTTTTCATTCCATAGTCTAGAGACTTCAGGTAATTCAAATGACCTTCATCTAGAAACCCTTGACTTTACACAGCTATTTCAGATTTCCTATGTTCTCTGCTTTCGTTCCATCACTGTATGATAGACCGCTGGAGTTACACCCAGTTTCCGACTTTGTAGGCGTCACAGTTTGTACTTGTTCCTGCACCTCCAGCTCTGCAGTGGCCTTTGGACCACAAAAGAAACAATGGGCTACCTTCTTCAGGGAAAAATAAACACGGAAATCTAGAGAAAGCAGGGATAGGGAGTTCTCTGTAAATCATTTCTGAGAAAAGAAAAATAATGTAATCCCT